AGGATATATGCTTTAGAAATTAAGTGCCAAAAATATGTTCATTAAGAATGTTTAAAGAGTTTGAACTAGTATACTGGATCATGCGATAGAAAATGTATCTGAAAAAGTGCACAAAGGGGTACCTGCATTTTCCCTCTATCTGGAAAGTTACAGTATGATCAACAAATGAAGAAAATATCTCCGTTATCCGCGCGCAATTAGAATTACAGTTTTGATATGAGTACCAATGTAAAGAACATGTTAATCATATATGTCATTCTTGGTAAAGGGATGAACATCTTATTGGACGTTGAACAAATCGTAACTATAAAGCATTTTGACAAAGACCATTTAATAGTAAATATACACTAATAGTAAATATACACTGAGCAAAAATATCATGAAATACTTGTTTTACACAATATTATCAATTTTATTCAGTGGAGTTGTATTTCATATAAGTAATGTTTACTTCTTAATATCATTCCAACAGTCGTTTTACAAAGCGGCTAATTTTAATATTAATAATTCCTTTATGCTTGAATGTGTTAATGCAAATATCTTAATACACTAAATTAAAACCAAGAATTGTACCTTCTTTTAATATATGAACTTACACACTACAAAATCAAAATACATTAACACAACCGATGTGTTCATGGCACTGACAGTAGGCCTACTATGTATTTCAATATAAATGTAAGTAAGATGTTTCAAAAGAAATAATACAAGCTTCGCATGTAGACATTCGACAGAAGATAATGTCAGAAACACGCGATACCTCATTATCCTTTCATCATTGATTTTGCCCGTCATCACATTATAAACAACAAAAGAAAGATCAATTATGATATACAGTCCCTTAATAAGCTCCACATGTTTTCCTACATATCACTTTCTTAGTCTTACATCCATCGAACGTCCGATCAGATAGATATATTAGTGAAATTTCCAACACCTGCAGTATAACGAACAAAAGCTTAATAATATTTCGTAGAAATGCTCTTTACCGGTATTCACAAACATAGCCGGTTTTTTCATTAACAATTCAATTATCAATCACCTATATTTTAGCCAACCTCTTGCCATATATCACTATTTTTTAACGTAGCTTGACAGCAAAAAAAACAAAAAACAAAAAAAAAACAACATAATGTCTACTTAAAACAACCAGAGGAGTACTAACAAAGTGCCTATACAGTCTTAACATAAATACAAAATGAGCCGCGTCACGACAAAACCAACATAATGGATTTGCGACCAGCATGGATCCAGACCAGCCTGCGCATCCGCGCAGTCTGATCAGGATGTATGCTGTTCGCTTACAAACTCTTTAACAAGTAGAGAAACTGACAGCGAACAGCATGGATCCTGATCAGACTGCGCGGATGCGCAGGCTGGTCTGGATCCATGCTGGTCGTAAACCCATTATAATAGTTTTGTCGTGACGCGGCTCAAATATTCAGACGAATCCGATAATCTGACTGATATTTCTTAAACAATTATTTGTCAAATAGTATGAGCAATGGTATATCTTGTACTAATTGTCTAGTAACACTCTCTTTGATATGTTTATGTAAACAATCATTAAGCCTGATTGTAGCAGCTGTTAGGTATACAATACTTAGCGTAAACAAACTGTAGAAGTCTTGTCAAACATGTCTTATTCGTGAAATATTAAAGGAGCTCCTATGAGATCCAAATGCTGCAAACTAGGAAATTTGAAATTCATACAACATCAACTGAGCACTACAACGGAAATTTTTGCACAAAAAAATCATAACGAAGAAATGTAGTCAGAATCAAATTGAAAATATCGTATTTTTTGTGTTCGTGTATATCGTCCACACATCTCTTATGTTTCGCTGCCCATGAGATTCGATACATTTTGACATTCAGATACGTTTACCGAGGGCAGACAATTCCTCATAGAGATATTTTGTTTGATTGACTTTTATTTGTTGATTTTACCATGTGACAGACGTTATATTATTGTCCATAAAAAATGTCAGGATTTATTTTTGTAGTTCCACATGGGAAATGATTTGAGTAATATAATCATTATTTGTAGACTTGAGCTATATAAAATCAATAAAAAAGTCAAATCATTTAAATTATTCATGCACACAGAGAGAAATTCCGTAAGTATGTCAACATAAAATGTGGTAAAAATCATTTTTAAATGAAAATATTACATAGATATTAGATGTAGCATTTTCTTGAAGCACAAGTTTGTATAGTAATGTATTTCGTTTACATCATGAATATTTTTTAAAAAGACACATTAAACTTGTGCTAAGGCATTCTTTATAATATCGTTCTTATTGTGGCGAACATTTTTGTTTTATTTTGAAAGCATTTTTATCGAAACTACCACATCCACAAGTGTTGTCTCTCAGACCAAACGGATACTAAAACCACAGAAAAATATGATGAAGTATGATTGAAGTTACGCCATGCTGCATGATAATGTATGCGCAACTAAACGAAAGGAAGTAGTGACCCTGTTTAGTTGTAACGTACATCCATTGTTTTGCATCTATTGCAAAAGTAACGTGAAACGCACCTGCTCGGAAAAATGTGTTGGCGGTAAAACTCGGTCTAAATCTCACAGGATTTTCTTCTGTTTTTTTGTACAACCTTTCCAACCAAAGATCAATAACGTTTTGAATTCCTCTAATTATGTTTATAATTGTAAATGTTTAAGTGTTAATAACCAGCATTTACTATATTTTAAAGTTTTATTCAGTTTAAAAGCTGCAAGCCTCCAGATTCATGCTTAATTTCGTGAAAAATTTAAAATGTTTTTAAACAATTCAATTCAATTCAATATCTTTATTGCATTAAACATTTTACAATGCTTATAGAACAAAAATTAAACGTAACATATTGTCAAGCGAACAAAGACAGTAATAAACAAATTGCAGACTGCACTTTAAACCTCCGAAATATTTCAAAAAACAGGTCTGAATATCAAAAAAGCACTTACAAAAAGCACTTACTGCGTTAGTCACGCATAAGAAATATTATGATACAATATCAATGCTGCAAAATCAGTCATTATTTGCATATAACTTGTAAATTATTTCTTGTATTGTGATTTTTTTTCTTTTCTTAAAATCCAAGTACATTCTTTTCTAGTTTGATTTTCTTGAAATGTTTGGCGATATGCAGCTTCAAAGCTTCAAAACTTGAAAATGGAGAATAAAAATAGAAAATCTCCAATTCAAATTTAGGAAATTGTTGAAGAAAATAGCTATTGTTACACAATGAAAATGATAAGGAGTGTCCCTACATTAGTTGATAGAATTTACCGGTGAAAGATTCTTATAAATCATACTTTGAACAAAATTGTCATTTTGGTGTTTTTCATATAGTTAGGTTTGACGTCGCCTAACACTGAATATGTTACAATATGTAAATTTCTTCATTCCCAAAAGTATTTTGCGCGTACGAAATTGTAAAAGACATATTCTTTTTTTTATTTAAGCTATATCGTATAAAAAGGAGATACAGAATAAATTGGTTTAGGTCTCCAGCAGTAATTTTCAATTTCATGTCTCAGTGCCGTGTCAGATTAAGTTTCCGTAACTTTTCGACATTGGAAAATGGTTCGTCTGGTCTTATATACTTTATTGTATTTTTGTCCTTTGTTTGTATATGTGTATAAATTTATCATAATTATATACGTTGACTTCTCAACAAAATAGGAGTCAAAATTTTACTTTACAATTCTCGACAAGCTGTCACGTAAAGAAAAGTATTTCTTACATGTTTTACAGTATTTATTTTGTACTGTTTACAGTTAATTAGCAATCATTGGACGACTGTTACAGTTTATTTTAGCACTATTAGTATACAACGTTTACCGTAGAAGTCACCTAACCTATCAGATATGAACTGTTTCCAAGAATCGTATTCTTTTATCTAAAACCCGAAAGCGACTTCCATACCGCGCCGTATAACGATAATTAAAGCGTATTAATCTCCCTAGGAAAATTTCCTACAGACTTTTCTGTCCGGAACACAACATTGCCTCTGTTAGTTTAATAAATGTTACTAAATGCTATATTTTTTGTTTATTGTCCGTGTCACTTTCACGTGTCTATGGAATTGGTTTGGACAGGAAATAAATCCAGACCTTTTAACATTTACTCGAAAAAAATTCCAGCATCTGTCATTATTGAAAAATAAAATGCCGTTACAACATATTTAAGGCACATTATGCCTGAAAACATTTGTTTCATGTCCATTAGAAGGGGGCAAATATGTGTTTTATTATGTTTTATTAATAGATTTAAAGCATATTAATGTTTAAATTTTTATCATCAACATAAAAGATTACTAATTGTGATAAAATGTCATAAAGGTAGCAAAACGTAAACAGTGTGGTATTTTTATTTCCATACAAAATGCTAAGTAGTTTTAAAGATATAGTTGAAATTATTAATAATTTCCACTCAGTCTCTTTGTAAATGTAAAATAAGCATGTTTTAAGTACACATTATACTACGTATGTTATGATTTAAAGTTTACACACTGTATGAATACATAGTGTCGTTAAAAAAACTGGCAGCTTTTTTAAGAAATGACCAACTTTACTTGGCCCGTAATATTGAATGCAGCTTTTAATACACATTTTATGTGTTCTCTCATTCAAATAAGACGTATTCAGTTTGAATTTCATAGATTTCAATAAATTTCTGAAGCAAAAATATTTTACTCAAAGATGAGCCTCGTACATCTTTAACATTTCAAACTACAAAAAAGTAAAAATAAAAAAATAAGAAATGAAAAAAAAATGGCTTAACTATATGGCTAAAGAGTTCTTTAAAATTTTAACAGACCACCAAAAGACACAAAAATGTTTGAAACTTTTAGATAGTATATTTGGGACTTAACTGGTCTTAAACAAAGCTTAAGAAATTAGCATAAAGAATTAAATATCAGTATCGATTGTTTGAAAATAGAAAATTTGATACACGAGTTTATATGTATTTGCGTAACAGATTAGTCTGGAAGATAAGGTGCCTAAAATAAAGTTTGAATTAAACATAGTTTTCTTATCTGTATTCAGAAGAACAAAAACTGTGCTTACAATGGAATTGTACTTTAATGTGATTATATTTTCCATCTGTTCATTTGCAGGTAACGACTTGACATTTTGCTTCACAGTTTAGTTCATTGTAACATACCAAAGGGGTTATATATGTGTTCTTTTCCGATGTTCTATATACTCGATTCACAGAAAAAAGTGTATTAAATGATGTTAAAATTTAATGAGTAGTGGACATTCTTAATTTATCATGGTGTGCTCCATGGGTATGGTTGATTTAAGGTTTGCTCTTTAGCATTGTATTGCAAAGAAAACAATCATGTTTGCACATGTCACGTGCATTTCTATACATCTAGAAAACATCCTTACTGGATCAACTTTTACATTTGTGAACGATCTTCATACAAATTCCAAAACTGATAAACAATTAGGTACATGTATGTAACATCCATCCACTCACGATTCTGCCTTCAGTTGGCTTATGCATATTAATGTTGTTGTTTTTTTCACAAACAATGTTTACCACTTTCAGTTTTTAGTTGCCCCAATGGATGGTCTACACATAACTCTTCGTGCTATTTATTCAGTCATGACACAGAAGACTGGGCAAACGCTGTGGTATATTGTATACCTTTGACTTCTATTTGATATTTGCTTTGTAATGATAATTTACTACAAAAAAAATCTTACCATAAACGAAAAATATTTCTGAACAAAAACCTATATATAGCATTATATCTGACACATAGATTGGCGACAACTTAACGATATTGATAGCCATCTAAATAAGAATAAGAATAAAATTTTACAGTAAAAATACGAAAACTGAGAATACGCATTTTATTTCATCAACATTTCTCAATATTTCGTTAATAAACATGTAATATATATTTTTTATTATTATATGAAATCGTTTCAGACATTGTGCCAAATATTTGGGGGTCATTTGGTTGAAATTGACGACGATATTGAGAACCAGTATATAGTTGCCCAAGCAAAACTTTATAATAGTATGTATTGTTTCTAAACACTGTAAAATAATTTTATTTCAATAAGATTACGTGTAAGCAAAACTGCATGGTTTTGAAAACTTTGTTTACAACTATCTGCAATTTCAATTGGTGTAAGAACAACAGACAAAGAGTATTTTTATTATAAATGTCTACATGCTCTAGTTCGTCCGCTTAGAAAAAATGGGGAGTATCGAATTAGTAACCCAGGGGGTTGTTTGTTCGATCCTGTGGCGTGTTGCAATTTCTTCGTGACAATTGTCACGATGATATTTGTCTCTCACCGTTGATTCATAAATAATGCGGAATTTGTTAGGGACATTTGCTGATAAATTGGTAGCTACTGGTTAGTTAGATGGATCGGCCGTTGTGTTATGTCCCAAATATATGCTATATTCGTCGTAAAACACAGAAAAACAAGCATACCATATGCTCTAAAATTAAGGCGTCAATGTTCAATGTTTACTAATGGAAAAGTAAAGTATTATACAGTTTTCGATTTATTTCTAGAATTGTGAATACATTTATCTAAAATGTCAATATCATAATTGGAACAAGGTTATATTTCAATTAATTTTTTATACTGGAAGCAACTCTTGAAAAGTTCTGGTAAAAGTTTTTCAATCTTGAAAATATAAGCTTGAAAAAATAAGGTCAAAAAGAGGTAAATGTCATATAGTTCAGTCTATATGAAAATAGTGATGCTAAAGTAAGATAAGCCTCTATGGCTAAGCTGTATTGTAGACAAATAAGAATGCTAGCCGATAGAGAAACAAAGAGACAGAGAAAGTATAAAATAATATGTCAAACATTTTGATGCAGGAAAATAAAGTACATGCTTAATAATGAAAGGAAAATGTATGATAATTTATGACGGTTACATCAAAGTTCTCAACGAATTATATCGAACACACATTTAAAGGATTTCGTCTTGCCAAATATAAAAATTACGTAACAGTGTTATTTAATAAAACAGTAAAAATAGACATAACAAGGTTTTTAACTCGGATTGATTTCAGAAGTTTTCTGGATAGGATTAAATGATATACAAGAAGAGAACAGCTGGGTGTGGGTCAACAGCCAAGATCCTGTAAAATACACTAACTGGGCTCCGAATCAACCTGATAATGGCGGACAAAATGAAAACTGTGTTCACTTGTATCCTGGTTTCAACTACACATGGAATGATTACCAATGTCATAAATTTAATAACTACATATGCGAGAAAACGGCTGAGTATGTATTTTTAAAGACAATAAATAAGCATACGGCTTATCTTTTAGTATAAAATATCACACATGATAAAATGTCATTTTTTGATACAAATGTTTCGACCGGAAGTTTAGTTGATTTAATGAAGTGTGTTATTTAACGTTAATGTGACTGCACTAAAGATTTTTTGACTTGGCTGCACTGGGAATATGGTTTTAGAGCGGGATTTCTTAACCAGTCAATGTAGGCCTGGACCAACAACATGTTTGCAAATTTTCAGAACATTCTCTTGGTTCATTTCCCAAAGAATAATTATGGAAACGTTGAAAAAGAACAAAAACACAATTTTGATTTTGATTCTGAGTGTATATGTTTTAATTTTTATTCCTCTTTAGTATTGTTTAATTGACAAGATTGATATTTATTACTTTTATAATTGACAAGTAAAATATTTCATTTTTCAGAAGTGCTGTTATAATTGGTTAGAAACTGCCTGTTGATAAAGGACCAAAGTGGATATCATTTTCCTGTACTGTTGATGTTAAACAATATTAAACAATATTAACTTCTTAGACAATAAAGAAAGACATTGTAATTTAATATTTATTTGTTGTCTTATCAGACTAGAGACATTCCTTTTATGACAACTTTTATCATCTATCATTTCTCAAGCTTATATGAATTAAAATGTATAAAGCTGTATCTGATATCATTGTCCATAAAATGTCAGGACTGTATTACCAAATGGAAAAATTCTTTGATCAATACAGAACAGAGGATTATAATCTTTATAATCTTTATACCTTTAGACTTGGGCTATATAAAATCTATGGTGGCTGATTTACGCCATGTCGTATTTTCGCTTTTTCGCCTCAAAATGCGAAAATGCGAAAACACGATGGGTCGACAAAGTTTGACTCTGTTGTCTCTTTGTGTTTTCGCTTTTTCGGATCTTAGAGACAACAAAGCGAAAATACGACACATAAAATCTGTCTTATATTAGCATTCCATCTGATGCATTTTCGCTTTTTCACATAGTTACATTTTCGTATTGTTACATTTTCGCATTGTTGCATTTTCGCTTTTTCGCATTGTTACATTTTCGCATTGTTGCATTTTCGCTTTTTCGCATTGTTACATTTTCGCATTGTTGGATTTTCGCTTTTTCGCATAGTTACATTTTCGCGTTCCAGTTGTGCCTGCTCATGGATACATCAATTTCTGATTATCATTATTATTATTTATTTTTGAAATGTCTGATCATATGATATATTATTTAATACATGTATAACGTTAAGGCTTTCAGGCTGTTCTGAATAAATTAATGCATAAAAACATAAATGTGTTCCTACCATCTTTAGATTATCATAATTATTTATTTTTATTTTAATATTTTAACGCTGACGGATGTGACATGAGAATTACGATAAAAACATTGCCCGCAAACATCTTAAAATAGATATTTACTCTAAGATTTAGATGTGTTTTCACAGGAAAACATTGCATATAATGTCTGTTAATTCTAGTATCAGAGTAAGACATACTTTATTTGATAACCTAGTGTGCATGTTGGATTAAGTTGAAAAAAAAATGAAAAAAATATTTTAAATACATTATGCCATGTTGTGAGGCGTTCCCCAGGTCTTTAAATCAAAGCTCTCTATTGATGGTCATTTGACAATGGTACAAAAAATGTCATAAGCTGTCAGCATTAGCGAATGTAATTGTAAACAGGAAACGGCAAAAATGTAACAATGCGAAAAGGCGAAAATGTAAGCAATGCGAAAATGTAACGATGCGAAAAAGCGAAAATGCAACAATACGAAAATGTAATAATGCGAAAATGTAACAATGCGAAAATGCCACAATGCGAAAATGTAACAATACGAAAATGCAACAATGCGAAAATTTAACAATGCGAAAAAGCGCAAATGCGAAGAGACGACACAGTTATACTTTGTGTCTCTTTATGTTCTCGTATTTTTGTATTTTGAACGCGAAAAAGCGAAAAAACGACAGACGTAGTGCGAATATACGACATATAAATGTTCATTTTTAATATGTAAGGTTTAACACCAACACTGTAATTTTATATGACGAGTTTCCATTGTATTTGGTATATTTCTTTCATTCTCAAAAGTAGTTTATGCCTCCGAAATTGTTAATAACACATTATTTCTATTTCGGCTATATCGTTTTAAAAGAGATCTAGAATTAATTGGTTTAGGTCTTCAGCAGTAATTTTCAATTTCATTTATCCCCGGTCAGTAATTTTTTTCTTTTATTTTCAACTTTGGAAAAATGATTGCCTTTTCTAAGTTTAAAAAAATTAAAATATATTTACTTTCTTTTTTTTTGTTTTTAAAATGTTAAAATTTATCAATTTCTCGACAAAAATAGGGGCAAATGTTATTTTGAAAATTTTCCCGAGTAAAAAAAAATATTTCTTACATGTTTTACAGTATTTATTTTGTGCTGTTAACAGTTAATTAGCAATTATTAGACGACTATTACAGTTGTCCGTTGATAGTTCATTTTAGTACTATAAGTTTACACGAAAAGTAACAACGTTTTCCGTAAGAGTCAAATCAGATATGAGCTTTTTCCGAGAACCGTATTCTCTAATCCAAAACCCGGAAGCATCATCCACACCGCAATGTATAACGATAATTATACCGTTTAAAGTTTTCTTCAGACGTTTCTTATCTGTCCGGAACACGACATTGCTTCTGACAATTTAGTAAATGTTACTAAATGCTATATTACTTGTTTCGTGTCTGAGTCACTTGCAGGCGTCTAGGAAGGACGTTAAGCCGCGTGAATAATTGATATACCAATTGGTTTGGACCGGAATTAAATCCAAACCTTTTATATTTTTCTCGAATAATTTTCGAGCATCTGTAATTGTTTAGAAAATATCAAACAAATATGACATAACTGAGGCACAGGCACATAATGACTAAGAAAATATATTTGTCTCATTTAGAAGTGATAACAATGTGCTTAGTAATGTTTTAATGATAGATATTAGATGTTTTTCATCGACCATAAAGAATACTGAATGTGTTAATATGTCTATAGGAAGCAAAACGTAACTAGTAGGGGTATTTTATCTCCATACAAAATGCTTTTTCACAACAACTTTCAAAATTATCAAAAGAAAATGAATCTAAAAATGGCATAGGTTAATGACTAATGAGTTCGTTTTCGGAAATTGTAATAAAACACCAAAACGAGAGGTGTTTGAGAAATCAAAATAATAGGATACTTGGGACTTAATGGGCATTTAAGAAAACATAAGACGACAGAAAGAACTCAGTGAAACAATCACTCAGGGACTGACTCATCAGACCGAGTTTTTAATCATTGCTGTCAATGCCATCACGGGAAGTGCATTTTCTTTATCTAAATATTGAAAAATCTGTATCGCTGTAGTTTAAAAATTAGTACATTTAATTCACTGAGTTCACACGCATTTGTATAATAGATGTAACTGAAATGTGGGGTCTTTAATTGAAGATAAGGTTCCTAAATAAAGTTTAATCGAACTAAATTGTTTTATCTGTCTGTATTCAATACTAAACTTAAACAGTCCTTATTAACAGTAAAACTGTACTTACAATGGATTTGTATTTAAACGTGATTATAATTTCCATATGCACATTTGCAGGTAACAACCTTTTGCTTCACATTTTTTTTTATTTTCTTAAAATGCGAACTCGTGTCGGTATATACCTGTTGATTTTATATTTAAACGATTTATTTAAAATTATGCTCTTGATTAAAAAACTAATCATCGTGTATCTCAATAGTGAGGTAGATTGTCCGCCACAAGAAGTCACACATTAAACCACTTTTGAGACCAACACAAGTTTTGCTCCTTAACATAGTACATGTATGCAACAAGAGTCAATCAAGTTTGCACATGTCAGATGCATCATGCCATTTATATGCAATAATTAGTAAAATCTGGACCACCTCCTCAACGGATCAATTCAAACATTTGCGGACGATCTTCATACGAACTTCTATAACTGATAAGCAGTTTGGTATACAATCCATTAACGGTTCATTCTTTAGTTATTTTCATTCCAGTACCAAAAAATCGCCCATCTTGTGTATATAATTACTTGTTTCACAATCACTGTATACTATTTTCAGTTTTCAGTTGCCCCAATGGATGGTCTACACATAACTCTGCGTGCTATTTATTTAGTCATGACACTGAAGACTGGGCAAATGCTGTGGTAAATTTATAAATTTGATTTTATTTGACACTTGTTTTGTAATACTAATTTTATCAGTTTATAATCATAACAATAAAATTAAAAATAAATATACAATTCAAAACTTCAAAAGTTGATAACAGTACATACTAGTATAACATTATTACATAGATTGATACATAGGTAGGATTACTTCTTAGTGCGACAACTTTTTTTCTTATATATTTACCTATATGTATCCAACGAATATGATACCAAATTAGTAACCTTGTAATATGTTTTCATTTTAGACTTTGTGTCAAATACTTGGTGGACACTTGGTTGAGATTGAAGATGATATTGAGAATCAATATATAGTTGCCCAAGCAAAACTTTATAATAGTATGTATTCTTTCTAAACTTTGTAAAATATTTTAGCTTGTAGAGCTTTGCCAATGGGGCCATGTTTAACCAATACTGCATGGTTATGAAAACTTTGTGTACTATCATCTGCAGATTTCATTGGCGTAAGAGCAACATACTTAGGGTATTTTATATATATGTCTACATACTCTAGTCCGCCCTCTAAGCAAAATATTGAGAGTATGAAATCAATAACCCAGGGTTCAGTGGTTCGATCCTGGGGCAAGTCGTAATTTCTTCGTTACAATTGCTAATTGTGTTTTTGTCTCTCACCGCTGATTCAGAAATAATGTGGGATTTGTTACGATCATTTGCAGATAAATTGGTAGTTACAGGTACGTAACCGAGGTAAACTGTTTAGATGGAAATGACCTAAATTAATTCTATGTTTACTTATGGAAAACCAATAAAGTATTAAAAGTAATAAATCAATTACAAATAGAAACAACTCTTGAAAAGTTCTGGTAAAATATTTTTAAGCTGAAAAAACAAGGTCGAAAAGAGGTAAATTTCATATAGTCCAACGGACAGAAAAACAAAGAGGCATAGAAATTATAAGATAACATGCCCAACCTATGGATGTAGAAGAATGAAGCTCAAGCTTAATATGAAAAATTTTGTGGTAAAAAAGAGTTCTCATGAAAATTTTGTAGCACTCCATTAAATTTTTCTGAAAATTTCGCATGACATTCCCCTAAATTTGAAAAAAAACATAACAAGGTTATTATCTCGGAATGTATTTTAGGTGCGTTTTGGATAGGATTAAATGATCTACAAGAAGAGAACAGCTGGATGTGGGTCAACAGTAATGATCCTGTCAAATACGCCAACTGGGCTCCAAACCAACCTGATAACGGCGGGCAAGATGAAAACTGTGTACATTTGTATCCTGGCTTTAGCTACCACTGGAATGATTTCCCATGCCATAAACTAAATCACTACATATGCGAGAAAGCTGCTGAGTATGAATTAAAAGAAAACACCATTTAGCATAAAATATAGCACATGATGAAATGTCATTTTTCGATAGAAAGGTTTCGACCGAAGGTTAAGTCGATAAAATAAATCATGTAATTTTTAGACATGGCTGCACTGGAAATATTGGCTTAAACCAATCGATGAAGATTAGGACCCGTAACATGTTTGCAAATTTTTAGAACATTCGCTAGGTCAATTTCTCCAGAATAATTATGAAAAACATTGAAATGTTGTGCCAAGAATAGCAAAAAGACGATTTAAATTTGTCCTAAGTAATTATCTTCCAATGAAAATTAAGTGCCTTATTTATGTATGAAATTCAAATTTTAATGCTTTTGAATCTCAGTGGAACTCCATGAAATAATATAAAAATTTAAAAATCATAATTTTTAATTGGCAGCAACAAATTTTAAACCATGTAAAAAATTATACATTTAATCATAAAATTTTAAACATTAAATTGCAATTTTATATATGCAACATTAATCGTCAGTTGATATTTAACAAAAAGAACTCTTCGATAATATTTAATTATACCTCTACAGAATTGTATTCTTAAGAAACTTATATTGATAAGCGGGATTTTTCTTAATTTAAAATTGACAACTAAATTATTTACTTTTCAGAAATGCTGAAATAATTGGATAGAAACAGACTGTTGTTTAAGGAACAACTTTTCAAACCAAAGTGAATATCATTTTCGTGTACTATAGTTATTTAATTGTATCAGTTTTTAGAAAATAAACAAAGAAACTTTGTATGTTATATTTCTAATGCTTGAGACATTCCTTGGATAAAAAGTATTATCATAATTATATTTGCCATACTGCCTCAACTTATTTGGATTAAATGTTAAAATGATGACTGATCAAAGGCACAATTTTTCATGCAAGTGAAACAAATATTTTGATAATCTGTCGAAATAAGATGATTTTTACAGAGGTGTATATCTTTTAGAAATATATTGTATTTAATGTTGTGAAAGATAAGTGAGCATTTTGACCAATTTTATATTTAAAATTGTAAACTTTAAATTTATATGATTGTCTTAGTGCTCTTGTAAGCATTTGTGAATAATTCTCCGAGAAAGTATAGTATAGTTAAACAGTAGTTTAATATATAGTACAGTATTTCAAGTTTCAAAAACAGTTTCGTCTAACCAAATTCATGTCATAAGCGATCTAATTTGATCTGTCATGATTAATAGTTAACAGCCAGTGTGAATTTACAGTGCTTAGGTAATTTCAATATTTGCATAGGGCGTTGCTTAATAGAATACCTCTTCAATTCACATTCTACCCCGTACATCATTACTATTCGCCTTACGGGATCATTGACTTCAGCTCATTTACCGTTGAAAATTGGAAACTGCTTAATCGGGGAATGTGAGAGATACTTAATTTTCGGGTATCTATCATGACTGAATCAATTACAACATGCCTTAATTTTCATACTTTTTGTTGTTTTATTGACGATATGTGAGAGATGCTTAACATTTCGGTATCTATCATGACGGACTCAATTACAACATGCCTTAATTTTCATATTTTTTGTGTCACTGCTCTATTGATATTTATGATATTATGACAGAAAATTAAATATGTACAAATTAATGCACCTCGAACAATTAAAGCATGAACTAATAAACTTGATTCGGATCACACAACAATGAGAATACCATCAATAGTAGTTGACATTGAATTGACCTTCAGCATGTTATCATCCATACAACATAACAAACATGATATTGATTGATAGTAATAAATGCAATTAAACTAATTAGAAAGATCAAAGAGAGTGTTTAATTAGTATCGATTTGATGCAGATTTCACAACAACCGTCACGTTAAGCGGTTCTCAGATGCCGTACAAAATGTGAACGATAATTGAATGCAGCTTTAGATAACACATTAAAGAAAATAGAAAAAGATGACTTCTTATTGCTGACATTATTATCTCTAGCATATAGAGGGCACGTATAGTGTGTCTCTTTGCATGCAAAGCTTTGCTTTCCAAAGATTAAAAATACATGCGAGGTATACTTTTTACTCATGAATACAAAGCACTTGAATGATGGTATTAAGTACAACACACCACATAATTTGAGTGAATATCAATTTAGTACTATGGCAAAAAATGAGCAAATGAGTAAAGTGCACCCTGTTGAGATTTAATGACATTAAAATATTATAAAACTCTAAGAAATGTCATTTTTGGAATTTTTTAAAATTTTATTTGGAATACAGTTTTAGAGTTTAAGTTGGTTTTTAAAAAGGTGTATTAAAATTTTCAATTTTATGGAATAAAAAAGAACAAAGCAGGGATTAAAAGCAAAATTAAAACCTGGTTTTTTATATACTTATTATGGTTTTCGTGTATTTAAAATAAATTTAAAAAATCTTGAATAAAAAACCAAAAAATTTAAGTCAACAACTTGAAATTACTAAAATCAAACATCTTTTAAATTTATTCAAATTGGGAATCTTCTTCTTTTATTCTACTTCGTTGTCTTAAAAAAATCAACCCGCTAAAACCCTTTGTTTTCCTCTTTTATCGGTCCCCATTCACTTTCTGGAGGAAGTTGTCTTAGGCGCATTTTTTTAGTTTTGTCCTGGGTCGTGTCGTCTACATCTTTGGAGGACATGCTCAACAGTTTGATCTTCCTCTTCGCAAGCACAAGTTGGCGACTGAATCTTTTTGTACTTCTGGTGGACATAGTTATCTTTATTTGAAGTTTTTCTCTTTTTGAATAAATAATCTAGCTAAGATATTAAGTAAACGCATTTACAAAACAGTTGAGATTTCAAAACAAGGCGATTTTCTATCGACCGACTTTCCATTTTAATACGTCGAATCACATGTTGATTAACCTTTCTTTTCTACATATTACGATTCACGACTTCCTACGGAAAAAAATGACAAACATTTATTTTTTGCCCAGATAAACTTACTATTAAATAAAGTTAAAAGGATTGGATAACTAAAGATAACTAACCTTGGTATTTGTTTGCTTGGCAAAATATGATCAGTTAATGATAAGTTAAATTTCCATCTACCGTTTATGATTATTTTTTTAGAGAGACCCTTCGGGTTTATGATAATTACAAAATAAAAAAAACTTTCCATGATATTTTGTACGGGCTTGAACTGAAGTTAACCCCTGTTTAATTGGCCCAATGCATTTAATGTAAGCTATTGAGAACTTGCAATGAATGCGAAGCATCTCTTAGCACATAAAATATTTCTTACGATTTCATATAGACAGAACGAAAACTTGTTCATGGATGAATTCAAACTCTGAAAGACCATGTAAACTGATAACAGAAACATTTAAGCGAAATAATATTGGTGGTTAGTTGCCAGTCATCACAAAAAATAAACGTAATAAGTCTTAAACATTTCATTTTACATTTTTATTTCGAACTTGATGATTAAACAAACTTCGTTATGTAACTACTTGAAAGTTTGCACAACAACCCGAATAGAATCCAACTACATGTAGATAGAAAAACAGAAACGATAGTGTCTTAATAGCTTGATTTTACAATGATCTATCTTTTTTTAACTAGAATAAAAAAATCAATCATAAGGACTGATAACGCAAAAACGAGATCGTCGACCGGCCTTAATTTTCTTTTTGTTTAAAATGTGTGTAAACTTAAAGTACTATATATTTTGCGTTTCTAACTACATAAAAAGCCGGAAAAAGTCCTCTACACAGTAAATAAAGAAACTATATTATTCAGCTAACTTTATAACCATATTGTCTTTTATTATACTTAACTATCGTTCCTAAAACGATAATTCAAACATATTGCCTTTGTAAAGAAAAACACACAAAAATAAAGGAAAATATACAATATCAAAAATCGCTGCTATTTATAATTTCCTGATAAACAAATACACTCTAAGAAAGATAAGAATACTTACAAATGAAAAGATTGACAGAAGAGTTTCTCCTCTTTTCACCGTATGTATATAAAACGATGAACCAATGAGGCAAACGTTTTTATCACATTTCTGCAGGTTACAAATATTAATACAGTATTAGTTCATACGGATTTATTTAAATTTGAGTTTGTTGGAAACTATATATAAGCCTATTGAAACACTCTCAAATCCGTTCCTAGAACCAACTAAGCAATGAGTGTCAACTTTCCTGCTCTCGGAAACAAAGGCTTCTCCCTGACGGGGTTTGAACCAACGCGGCCAGCAATCCTTAGATTACAAGTTGGTTACTACTTGGCTCGCCGCCACTTTCATACAGTATAAACAAGTTTTAAAATTGTTATTGACATATGTATGGTATAAAAAATAATTCTTGAGTGTTGTTGCAACATAGGCTATTGAATATATCATGTTTCCCAAAAGACCCGAAACAGGAACGACTTCTTACGCCTGACCGAATATCTTAGATAACGGTATATATATATATATATATATATATATATATATATATATATATATATATATATTATATATATATATATTGTTGATTAAGGTCGGCAATGGGGTCAATGCCAATGCAATGCTAACTATACATTTATGATATTTTTATCATTTTCAATATAAACATTATTTTCTGTCCTTTTTTTTTTTTTTTTTTTTTTTTTTTTTTTTGCTTTTTGCTTTAGCTGTCTCAAATACTTAGTCTGATGATGAAACAAAAACTTACCCTAGAAATGTTATCACAAAACATGGAAAGTATTTGTTCTATGAATTTTACTGCAAAGGTCTTAAGGTTATATTATTATACATGTTCACACTGTCCGATGTGACTTTAAAGATTTTTCTTTTTATAGAGAATTTGTGAGAGAAAAAATGGACTAGTTTGGTTATCGGACGAGATATTAAATAAAACCTGAATGTATAATGACATCATTATCATTTTTAGGCAACATTCGATAACTATATTTATGAGAATATAATCCTAGGTCTGTATAACCAATGAATAAAATGTTGAGATTATCATGTAAGGGCATTGGTTATACTTATTTACCGTTTTATAACCAAATATACTCGATTGTCAATCAATGATATTTCGTATTTAACCACGATGTAGAAATTGATGATTTTGACCATTCTCTTTTCTTTTTTTGTCTTTCTTATAAGTCAAATGGAACACCTTCCTTAGACGAAAGTAAATAACAGGAAAGCTCAATGTATATGAGTTGGTTATGCATAAATATATGTGCTTGCAATTTATTAAATTAAATTAAATGTTATTTATTGCTGTTATTCATTTGCTTTAAATGATGCTTACTTTAGTTAATTTTCTGTAAAGTCTTTGAGTGATAATGATGTGTTCTTTTTGAGCATTTTCTTTTCCCGTTATGCGTGCAGAAAATGTTTTATGCAACAATATTTTGATAAAAATATGCGTGGACAAATTTATCACAAATTTCTGCAAACATATGGGTCAAAGAACGAGAGCTACATTGGAAATACTATTGAAAATGTCAAATATTTGCCTGGAACAGGGCATGTGTTTTTAAATCAATTATTGAAAGATATAACGAAAGGTTTGCAAATAACATTTAAGTCATGGGCGTTGCCTTTAGCGGCGACCTAATGCAAACTTATCGTAAAAATAGTTTGGGATCATCCTACCTGATACATTTGTATATGGAATAAAATGTATAAACATATAAAGAAATAAAAAAAAAGAAAAAAAAGACATTGGACAAAACAAGATATTTTGACGTTAGACGCAATCAATATTGTGCACAGATAGATATTCACGCCCCTTTGCAAAAAATGTTAACCAAAACCCATTTAACAAGTTATTTTAGAGTCTTTGCATATGGCAGTCGGTATTTTATAATTATCAAACGATTCTTTCAATAGTTTTTATTGATAAATTTCAAAATGGTATTCGTTGAGAAAAAGATACAATACACAATTTGCGATATTGGCTTCAATGAATAACGTATAACGCTTTTGCTTATCCCTTCGATTCCAAGCCTTGAAGTGAAAATAGAACATGTAACGTCTTCAGCTTAAAGGCTATGTAGTCACAGAAGATATCACTATTATATCAACTATCTATTAGTCAAAGAGAACTTGTAATGAGACGTCAAACCTAAATATGTTATCTTGTGAGATGTTTGGATTTAATTGTCTTCCACAACACAAAATTTCCCCGGGGCTTAACTGTTTGTTGTGATAAATTAGCTATTTGTATCCTAAATTTCACGAGGCAAGTAACATACTCATATATGGCTCATAACAATGTAGCATTGAGTATATTCATATTAATCCGGCAAATGATAATTTAGTTAAATTCAAAGTTTCATAAATGAATGCAGTTTGATGATATGATTGGCAATAATTAATTTTGTAAGGAATGTTAATACTGTGTCCGGGATAGATAATCCAAACGCAATGTTGATAGCTTTAAAACCCACCAGAAAATAACTACTAGTATCTACGTCTGCTCGTGCAGAAATGGAATGGTTAGAGGGAAACAATTTCATATTTTACGCCGACAACTGAAATTACACAAACTTTCCAGTGTCTGTACTGGAATACTACCGAAACAGTGTATTCTTCCTCTCATTTATCAATGTAATTGTCATTTTGATACAAGAAATCAGAGGTTTTAATTATCTTTACGATTGGATATAGGATTACATTTAGATAATAACTAAATCGCGCGTTTTCAGCGAAATGATAGACACGTAGCATAAAAAATCAGGGTAAAATTATACTATCTTGTAGCTAATTACCATAATTTGTCACAAGTTTCGTTCAGAGTGTAGGTTTCCTTTTAAGACATTGATATACTTCGCTGACATTACAACAGACAGCGTTATGTAGATCTATATAATATTGAACAGATTTGCTTTTCCTGCTTTTATATGATATAGCGATATATGAGATAATACTTGCACAAAATTTATAGCCTTGCTTGAATATTTCCTATTTGACGTTAGAGATTTGATACTTCATATAATATAAAAGGTTGTTTGGAAATAAAATCCGAGCCGCTATGCGAGGGTTATATTGCAAACAACCGTTTATATACGGTCATATAACCTGACTGAAATATTTATAACGAACTTATAATACAACAGACATCTTTTAAGAGAAAAAAAAGATATTTTTTCATATGTTGATAGCAGCTGTGTATATTAAACTATGTTAAAGTCAATATTATCCAATGAAAAGCGACGTTACAAGCGAGCAGTATTATAAATTAGTATTGGGAAAATAACAACAAGCATTAGGTAATATCGTATGTTTGATCTTTTCATTTACGACGGCGCCTCAGCAAAACTTACTTAAAAAACGCCGGAGTTCAAAATGATCACGACCGTTTATGGGTTCAAGTTCATAATATAACATAATATGGAAAAATCTAAACTAAAGTAATAGGCCAATTACAGGTTAAAATTCTGGGATATGAATAAAATAAAATAATAAATATTTTAATAATCATACAATTTTATTGAACTTCAGTTGTTTGACATTTCTTTTTCAAATATGCTTCCAAAGAACTAGCCGACAATAGAAGCAGTTTCTCCCCCGCTGAAAAATATATATAATATATATATACGAGTATATTTATATTTAGAATATGCTTTTGTTTGAATGTTAAATCTAAGACATGTATCAAAAAGTCACTCCAATTGCAATAATTTCATGAGTGACAATGTTTGGTACATAAAACGAGCGATTTCTTATGATCATGCTTTACATTAAGTATTGACATCAGATAATTAATGTCAAAAAATAATATCCAGAAAGCTTTCACATACTTTTTAACTCCTATGTCATAAATCGACGACATTTCTAACTAATTCACGATTGAAGAAATTATTAAGAAGAAATTCCCAAACGATTGCAGGTCCTAAATGTATGTTAATCAAAGTTAAACTTATATCAATGTATACTGTCAGCACTATAAGAACACCTTATCTTGCAAACTGGTTGACATTTCCAGTCACATCCAAGATCGCCCCAGAGGTAATCAAATGGTCCCCAGAATATAGCACAGTCCTCATTATTACCGGGATCTGGTTGGGAGGGGCCCCAGTCAAAGAATAACGGAGTTGTATTACTATGATACCAAATCCAGTTGCCTTCAATTTGCTCATCAGAAAGTCCAATCCAATAGCAATGTCCTTGATAAAACACAGCTGACATATTATGAACAATAATTACATTATCTACTTGTAAAAGTCATGTATATAGTCTTATAGCTGTAGTAAATTTGGACATATCAAAGACAAATATAAGACAAATCGAATCATTGGAATTAGGCTCCAGAATTTAAACTTATAGATAATCTGTGGTTTATCTACAATAATTATTTACTTTAGAGTCATGTGAGTATTTAAAAATTTAATTGTTGTGTTTTGTTTGTTTTGTTTTTACTTGAAATACGCATTTTATCCATTCAGACAACTCCCTTAATGTTATATAGAGCATGAAGTTTATGTTAAACTTTAGAAAGCTATTTACATATATCATATAAGTCTAAATCATTTACCTCCAAAACCTCTTACATAATCCTTCAGGAACAGGTTTTCTGCCTTAGAATCTATTTCTACCAAATGTCCATTGTGATGTTGACGACAAAAATGCTGTATTGAATAAAAACTGTTACATAGAGATAATATCATATTACTTTTTGCCTACATTTCTACATTTACCTAAAATCAAATTAAATTGATTAAAGGCGTGCTAGCTTGTTGGAGATGTCAGTTCAGAAAGTTAACTTCTGTAACTTTGTTTTGTTTTGTTTGGTTTTACGGTGGAACAACAAAGTTTATGTCATATGGCGCCGAAACAGGAAATATGATTTGGCTAACCTCGGGTATTGCAAACTTAAAGTAACACCAGAGATCGAAACAAGCTCATCTGCTGGAGCGAAAGATTCATTTAGATGCTTCTCGATCACAAAGGGATTAACGGTGGCTGTAATTCTAATACCTCAATTCTTAAAGGCAACTCCTCAGCCTCAAGAGTTTTTGTTACAATACATTAAAGTGGTGATTAAATCATTTTGTTATAGTGAAATATATCTTGATTGTTTGTAAATCTATTTTTATATCAACTAGTAGGAAATATTGCAGTGTGACAACTTATAGCATCGACTGAGTTACAGACCTCAGACTCTACAAACGTTTGTGTCACACCATGTCCAAACAGATAACACGATCCTTCATAGGCAACCCAGCCATCCGGACAGTCTGTACACTGTACAAGTCCTGAAATAGTTCCTACATGTTATACATACACATTAAATTGTTCGCTGGAAAAATATCTTTATGATTCTATAACAAGTATTTATATATTTCCCGTATTCAACACCGTCTCGCACTGTACCGTCAATCATGATAAAAGCCGTTCTCGACAAAAGTATCATTGTCTGTAAAAAGCGTTTAAGCATCCTGCTAGCAGGCTTAACAGATTGTTTGCCTTATCAGGATATATTAATTTTGCACATCTTGTGTTTTGTAACGTTATATTTATATATATAGAGAGAGTAGATTATCATAAAGGTATTATTCAGACACAATACATATACAAAATTAAATAGTGAAAAACAGCCCAACAAAAGAAAGCCCAACACGGCAAAACTGTAAAATGTTGTAAGCTCGGTTTGATTGAGCCTGTTCAAGGACAGTGATGGAAAGTGCAAGTTACCGTCCACGCCCCCTAGCACCGGCTTAAGCAGAATTCAACATTTAAAGTCACATTACAACAAACCACAAGACACACTTTATATCAGTAGGCACAGCACAAAGTACAATGCATCCAAGAAAAAGATCGATGGAGACATAAAAACATTAAGAGTTCATTTGTGAGTTCACGATTAAATATTCGTCTTTTTTGGTTGTCTGTTTTGGTTGGGTTCTAAGTCACACAGACCGTGTATTGTTTATATGGCTATTATCCACTTTTAATCGTTGAGGAAGATCTCACATGCCAGAGCGTGTATTATTTCAGACACGAGCAGGTTCTTGAGTGGAACCACCGCCTATCCATGATAGGTTCCTCACTTGAAAGAAATTTTGTTTATAGCAAGACTGATATGAAGTGCAGGGCAACTTTCTACAGCTACCACACAGCACTCTTTGTAAATAATACATTTTGCGTTTCCCTTGTGAAGGCCAAATTTTTCAATGGAGCAAATGTCTAATGGTAGCTGATGTTTGTTATAGTTTTGACGTTGAACAACAGTCAAGTTAAATTGAATTGCATTAACTACTGTAAATACATAGTATACAGTTATTTCATACGTGATTTGGGAACAGTCAAACTGTTGGCCCGAGGGGGGGTGGGTTTTTTAAACTGTTGCCAAGGCCTTTAGGTTTTTTTTGTATTTAAGATTTTTCGGATCCCCAAACTTTTAAAATTTTTGCCTTTTTAATAGGATTGTATGTCCTACTGACGATTGAGTTATGATAACAAACATGTATTTCATAAAAAGAGATAATGCTTACCCGAAAATACTAATCCTAATAGAAATGTCCACTTTGAAAACCCTGTCATCATTTTAAAAGAAATAGTGTAGTAATCTACGTTTGCATACATGTTTATCTAACTTTTTCTTATCTCTAGATTCACACAAGCTTCGTCGGGCCATTAAAATTATATATGGGGTCATGAAATAAACTAGGACTTGAACGTTCCCTTACATAGATTACAAAAACACAAATAGTTCGTTACATAAATAACAAATCGAAATTCCTTTTTAATTTACAGTACTTAATACAGTTAAAGGAGATTTCATCCGATTAATAGATAAAGAAAAAGTCAGGCAGTTTCCAAAAGGATTTTATTTTAAATGAACCTCTAGTGTCTTTATTTTTAAGTTATAGTTATATAAAGAAGTACTAAGAAAGAATGGTATGCATGACTTATAAATTGATTTTTTTCAACATTATTCAATGTTGATTTCCAGCAATTATCTTATCTGCGATCACGAGTCATTATTTCCCTTCCGTTACACTTAAATTCAATTTGCCAAAGTGCCTAAATTTGCTGACCGGTATAATTATAGCCATAGGGTGTAGAAACATTTGATTGAGACTGTAATGGTCAAGATGATTTCAGACAAAATTGTTTCTCCTCATAAGACATTTATTCATCAACTGATATTTGGGGATAAGTTCCGTTGTATAATTACATATACATTTTAGAATGACTTGTTTAAAGAAGATGATGCTCAACGTAAATATAATGAAGAAAATCAACAAATCAATACTAGTTTGGAGTAAACAATGTTGTGAAGTGAATTGGTTTATAATGTAAGGTCTGTAAAACCGTAAGCAATTGTGTTGATAGAATTCAGTGAATCTATTGCCCTGATCGTATAGGAAAATATAGGGTCTTTCTCTGAGATTGAGATGCGAATACCAATAAATATAGAATGTACAAACATCATTATCTCGACAAAATTTGACTTAGAGTATTTGTTCAAACTAAGCGCTTAAACCTAAACCTACTAAACAAATATTATAAGGACTAAAACTGTTTGACATTTTATTTATATTATATAATAACAAATTCAACATATAAGGAAAAATTTTTTAATTATAGGATAATTAGAAACGAGAACGTTGACCCCTTATTTTATTTTTACTTTCTGTCTATAGAAAAAAAACATCCTTAGCACAGGTAAGGAAGAAGTAAATAAGAAGATATTTTATCTAGGTGATTTCATTACCATATTATCTATAACTGACCTATCATGTCTAAAAACAAAAGGCCTTTGTTATTCTTTTGTTTACACTAAAATAGCATAAAAAGGGAAATACACAATATCAAAGTATTACTAAATAAGTTTTTATTAGTTCCTGGTAAAAATTTAAACTCTAAGAAAGATAACAGTACTTACTTTATGAAAGGGTAAACAGAAATGTTGGTCCTATTTGCAGGTATATATTTGGTAGGTATAAAATTAAAAGAAATAAAGGAAAAATAAGAAGGAAACGTTTTATTTTTCAACTAAAGGTTAAATCTAATGAAAAATTATTAACATGGCTCAAGAATATGTTTTTTTATCTTCATATTTTTTTTTTAGAAAATACCATTTTCTCGTGCCAATCATTAAAACACCAGATACTCTAATTCCCTTACAGATTCGATTTCGTATAAGCTTAGACGGTCTTTGTTACATAATATAAGACCCAAAGCCCTCAGCCAAGAAAAGAGTTCAGGAGATTTCCGCATGGCATGGTCGTTTTCTGGACCGACGACTTATTCCTTCTGTATATAAAATTTATAAATTTTCAAAAAGAAGTACCACATTTATGGGCCAAACGTTTAAACACCAGTTGTCAGATTCCTTTGCAGATTCAATTTTTGTACAATTTTCGAGGGTCTTCCTTACATAATATAAGAACCAAAGCCCTAACCCAAGAAATATGTCCAGGAAATTTCCGCATGACATGGTCGTTTTATGGACCGTGGATTTGTTCTTTATGTATATAAAGTATATGAATTTAAAAAAAAGAACAATTTTCTCGAGCCAATCGTTGAAACACCAGTTGTCTGATTCCTTTGCAGATTCGATTTTGTACAAGTTTGGAATGTGTTTACCTTGCATAATATAAGGCTCAAAGTTCTTACCCAAGGATATTCGTTTTCGTATGGTCGTTTTCTGGACTGACGATTTGTTCCTTCTGTATATAAAGTTTATAAATTTTCTAAAAGTTCGTGCCAATCGTTGAAACACCAGTTGTCTGATTCCTTTGCAGATTCACTTTTTAACATGTTAAGAGGATCTTCAATACATAATTTAAGGCCGAAAGCCCTAACTCAAGAAATATAACCAGGAGCTTTCCGTATATGATTGTATGGAATACTAAGTAATTAAAACATATATTATTGAAATATATCTTGTATGCCCCAAAGAACAAAGTCGGGCTTGCCTTTTTTACGTCACACTGAAGGTCCGTCATAGTTTCTAACCGGTTATCATTGATAACGATATATCATGTGCCTTAATAGGGTCAATAGGGTCAATGCCAATGTTTTGAAAACTAAAGAATATAATTATATCCATTATTTAAATTCGGAAATTGTTTTAGCTGTCTAAACGTGGCACCGGAAAGCATCAACTGTTTTGATAAAGATTTTAACTGAAGATATTGTATAGAAATGTATCAGCTGTAGTTGTAGGTATTCAATATTTCTTTAAAAAAATGATATAAACCGCATATAAAATATCATTTGTTCTCATTATAATTATGAAAAATGCATGTACGTTGTTTACTTTGTACATCTTCTATAAGATTCTGTCCAGAAATACGTGAAGAAATAAAACTAAAAATGTCTTTTCGTGTTGTAGATCTGTTTAAGGATATTGCTGTGGTGTTTTAAAATATACTTAGTTTGATTACGAAATAAAGCGTACCTTAGAAATGATATTGTTCTATACAGTGTAAATCCTCTGAATGATACTCTAGTGTTGTATTCTTATAGTGCATTTACCTTCCCCGTTATGCTTGCAGAAAATGTTTTATGCAGCAATATGCACTGTGTCACAAATTTCTGCAAGCTTACTGGAAGAGCAATATTGGAAAAAATATGTAACATTATAATTGGCAAGAATATGTCTAGAACAAGGAATTTAGTGTTTATTCAAATATTGAAAAATAAAATGAAAATGCTGTACATGTTTAAAATAACAGCATGTGATCAATATAATATTGTATGATTTTACGTTTGTTAATGTGAAAATTTTCTAATTATGTTTTCACCATTGCGTTCTTATTTATATTATTATAACAGACACATTACAAGATATGATTCTAAATATTATTGATTTCTAAATACTAAGAGGATATTTTTTCGTTTAAGTGAAATAAGGAATATATTTTCACGAAACATGATAAAATGCCACATATTTTCACGAGCCGGGACGGCGAGTGAAAATATGTGTCATTTTATCATGTTGAGTGAAAATATATACCATATTTCACGAAAAACGAAAAAATAACTTTTTTATTTAATTTCATTATCAAAGAAAACGGTTACAAACCCTATTGCTTGCTACGCATCTGCAATTGTACAGCACGCAGTAATATATTATTGGCGTCTGCGCCGAAGCGCGGCGCCCTTATGGAATGAAATCAGATTTTGTGAAAGGGCGACAGCAACTTCTCGAGCCTTTCAGTCGGTCATAATAAAAGCCGATAATTCCGATCGGTATGAGGGTGCTTGATTATTAATTAAGAATGAAATGTCGCGATATGTTACAATGAATTTTCGCAATGCAAACATTTTCAAATGAAATAACCTTTTCCGTCAATAAATCGCGCTCTTCGGGTTTTTCTGTACGAAATCTGCTGTGGTCATAGTAATATTTTTACAATAGGTTTATCTCTTAGATTTGGTTTGCTATATTGCTAATCATGGTCATGCAACTACACAGTTAGGTGAAGAAGCAGGCGCTTGTTTTGGTTGAGTCTATTATGTTTTGTTTAGGGCGTGAGTTGTCATACACAAATTTACAATTTATATGCATTTATTTTTTTCCAATGATTGTTATTTTCTTAAATGCTTCTGGGATTATTGTTTTATCAATTCATTTGTAAATAAGATTGTTATAATATGTCTATTAACGGAATAATTTTAATGAACACGAAATTAGTTCACACCTAAAGTATGTGTATTGATAACGTGATGGTTTAAGCCAATGAAAACACATCAATATTATTACAATCAGGCAGAGAAAAAGTGTGCAAAGAGTAAATCGATAATCTTTATGTAGCAAACAAACTTTGAATTGCAAGTATTTTTTCATATCTTTTCGGCAGGATAAACTGTCCGAGGAGGGCCAGGCATTTTCGTATCGTAAAATGGCTGCCATTTACAGTACCAAGTGATTATCCAAAGCACCACCGCGACTTTGCGCGGGAATTTTAATTATAGCTAACCTCGGCGCGTCGCATAGGATGGAAAATACCAAGTAAAGTCAAGTAAATTTTATTTACAAGTCGGATACATCAACAATAAACATAAGCTCTGATGAGCTTTTTACAATATTTTATTGTTATAAATATTTACAAACTGTGTCTTTCGTTTTTTTTTATCAATATATAACTCATAATGATGTTAATATGAATAAATAATAATATCTTAAATCTGTGACTATGATTTACAATGAAATTCTACCTTAAGTGTATTAAAAGGTTTTTTTTAAATTTCCTGTAATTTTATTTTGTGATTATGCTTCAAAGCAGTCAATTGACCGTGAATTTTCTTTTCATATTTTGATTTTCTTGAAATCATTTTTCTCATCTGAAGGCATGCAACTTTAATATGATGATACATTAATTACATTCCATGAAAATGTTTAAAGATATAAAATATCTCATAACATGTTTGTTCATTTTACATTACACCTTTAATTCAGCAAACATAAAGTCTTCACAAAAAGTAGTATGCAATCGTACCTATATTACATACGAATGAATGTAATATTTTTCTTGTTTATTTATCATTTTGTAGTACACAGTCGGTTATCATGGTATGTTATTGTTGTACATGTATCCTAGAATGATCAGTTGATGACCTAAATATTCCAAAAACCTATTTATAGATATATCTATTTATCACTCCTATCGGTA